CTCTCGGTGACTGAAAGCCAAGTAAACAAACAGATAAGGACCTTGGCAGCAAGTCCAACAATCCTTGGCAGCAATTCAAACAAACTCTGGCAGCAGTCCAGCCTGCCAAGTTAGTTTCTCTTTAGTCCAAGCGTTGACTTCTGCAAGAAGGGTGTGGCACAAGCAGTCTTTTTTATAGTCTGGAGAGGAGCCTAATGACCATCAGCTGAGCGTAATTACCTCCTGTAATTACATATTGTTCTTGACACCGAGTAGCTCTTCGACGGCGTGCATCCTGGAACAACTCACTGTTGGTTTCTGGATCACTCTCCCTTGTCCCCTCCCCACTGGTCCAAGGCTCAGGCGCCACCTGATGGCCAACCAGCCTCTCTGCGCCCTGCTCGGAGTCGGAACCCTGTCCAGGGTCCTCCACATCCTCCAGGGCCGACTTAGAGGGCCCCTCGCTGTCGGAGTCTGGTGGCAGCTCCAACGGCTCCTTCTGGGCTGTTAGTAACATGGTTATTAAGTGAATCTCATGACCCCGGGGATGCTGTGACTGTTGTAAGTGTGAATCAGTTGCCAAGTGTCTGAATTTTGAATTGTGTGACCATGCGGGATGCTGCAGTGGTCGTAAGTGTGAAAAAACGGTTGTTAAGTCACTTTTTTTCCAGTGCTGTGGTGACTAAACGAATGGTTATAGGTTGAGGGCTACCTACACTGGTGTGAGTTTTCCATGTGCCTCTGTCTGTTTTTATCTTGTTTAATATTTTTTTAGTGTGGTCATGTATTTCAAATGGGCGGCTGTGAATGCAACAAACCATCGTTTGATTTTGCGTAGGGAAAACTGACATTCCCGGATGGCTCCGTCCTGGAGGAAACCTTCACCAACAAATCCAGAGAAGGGGTACAGGGGCCAGGGGTGAGGAGGAGCAATTCTGAAGATCAACAGGCGGTCACCAGATCTGATATGTAAGTCAGAAAGCCACGGTTTTGTTGAGATTGTGGGGCTTCCACTCTTGGTTGAGAAGCTTGTAGAAAATCCATTCTTGCTCCCCAGAATGTTTGGCTAGGAAAGATCTCACTGATTGGATGCTGGAGCAGTCGCACCAGGAAGAGGACTCCAAATTGTGGTCTAATGAACTAATCTTTTCTCAAGCTAGACACATGGAAGAGGGGAGGACTTCCACTCCCAGAATCCCCCAGCCAGCATGATTTAAGAAGGGAGGACTCCAATTCCCAGAATCCCCCAGCCAGCATGATTTAAAAGGGGAGGACTTCCACTCCCAGAATCCCCCAGCCAACATGCTTTAAGAGGAATAGGAATAGGAATAAGTTTATTTATAGGCCGCCCTTTTCCTTGAAGGGACTCAGGGCGGCTAACAACTTATATGGGAGGGGAATACATACAATAACATATAACATAACAC